CATCTTATAAATAATAAGTAATAGTAATAGTAATACATCACCCCCCCAAAAAAAGAGTCTGAAAAAGAATTCCTCAGATTCTGGTAATAAAATGACCAACACATAAGGCGGAGGTTTCTCTCTGTCCATCCCTTGCTTCAAAATCTTTCATTATGTCCAATCCTGTAGCCTGAATTAAAATCCCTCCCCAGCTGATGTGGGTGTGAATCCCACTTTATTTTACTTTTATTTTTCTCTTAGCTTCTACGTATACTGTCCAACATAAATAAGAAGATGGCAAAATAAACTGTGTTGAAATATAGAGCTTAGAACTATTAAAATTACAACCTACAAAATGAAACGCTAACAGAATCCCAATTCAGAGTAAAAAGGAATAGGCTAGAGAATAGAAAGAAGGGCCAGGTGTCTAGCACATCTACAGAGCTATCCTACCACTAAAAAAACGTAAGAGATCCCTTGAATTCCCCCAGCCTATTTCGCCCCCCCCAAAAAAACCAGTTCTGCTTCCAATTACTTGCCTCTCAAAAATAGGGCTGGTACTCGGTAGGTCAAAATTTTTTGTTGTTTTTTGTGCTTATTGAATGACATATATGGGGATGAAAGCTACCAAACATTGCTAAAAAAGGGATAAAAACCTGCCTTCATCTTTGAAACAATTTATATGATTGACAATTCTTAAGAACTATGCACAATTCAGCCCACTACGCACAACGCTAGTCAGGTAATCACAATGGCAAACCGACCAACAATGTCCATGTATCGCGTGGTAAGCGTCCATTATGCATTCAGATGGGCAGGTGATAAACATCATGCCGCGGTTGGAAATTTTGTGGAAACACGCTCGCTTCAAGTACGAGCAAACAACTTTAAATTAAGATACATACATAAACAGACCAAGTTCTGCAAATTAACTTGCAGAAATCTTGCAACATTGATTTTTTTATGTACAGCTGTAGGGTTGCATGTACTGTATAGTGTAACGGCACTATTTTGACTGGGATGTGATTGGTTGCCACATCTCCATCACGCGTTCTTTTGCATGGGTGCAGTGTGGAATGAGCGCAGCATGCACTGAGCTTTGCGCTCGTGTTTTCATCATGGCAGTGATATGCGAACGGAGCAAGTGAAAAAAACAAAAGTTATTTTCAAATGTTGCAAACGTGAAAAAGGTTGTTCAGAGGTGTTTTGTGAAGGCCAAAAAGAAAACAAGATTTATTTATTGGTGTATTTACTTTTCCAAATTTGGTTTTCTAACTTGCTGATCAAAGCTTTAGGGTCGCGCTGAAAAGTTAGGGTCGGTCGGAAAACCGGAAGAAGAAGTTTTATTTGACCTGTTCAGTGATTCGCTTCCAATTTACAGTGCCTTCTGCAACCTTTCAGAAATCCTTGGTTTCATTTCCAGGTGCAATATAATGATGAACTCAAGACAATTTCTTTCCACTCTACAGTACATGAACAATGCTGCACGCTCAGTAGAACAGTGCTACACAGGGCTTCCCATGCCCATTCAAGTGTTGATTGGCCCACTTCACTGATTTTAGTGACCACCTCAGGATTTTCTGTTGAATTTTACCACCCCACACTTAAAATAGACAAAGGTGGATGGAAAAAGCAAAACAACTTGGATAGTTTGAAATAAATCAGTTTTAAATTGTTCAGAATGGCAAAGAGGAACGAACAGAGAACACAAGATCAAATTATTTTAGAGGGAAAATTTGGAGTAAATGTACTATTTATTAGACTATACAGAATAGGCCTTTTAAAAAACACTTTTTTATTTAACACTAGAACTTTGGCAAATTTTTTGACCAACTCACACATATCAGTACCCAGGGGAAACCCTGGTGCAACATGCACATTCAAGCTTGCTGTCTGTCTTAGTGCATCTAAGGCCATGTCTGAAGTGGCTACGGCTGGGGAATAATGCACAATCTTATGGAGGCCACTGGCTTAGTGGCTGCAGACATTTACTATGAGCCAGTGCCCAGTTGACTTGCCAGTTGACTTTGAATTCGACATGGAGGCTCTAATCTTTCTCACCTCATGGGCTTCTCTAGCGAGCTGGTAGGGATCCAACTCTGTGTCTTGTTGGGGGTACTGGTCATCAATACGCTTCTTGAAAAACTCAAAAATCTAGGATGGAAATACAGTAAGCAGTCAATTTAAATCACATCAAACTATACAGAGTAAAGTCAAATCAATCAAATCAAAACATGTCAAATCAAATCAAGCCAAATCAAGCAATACAAAACAAAAGAAACAACTTTGCCTACATTTTAAATTACTGCAAATACATACAACCTTTGAATCTACATTCAAGTGCAGCTGTGTCAAGTATCAAGTACACTTTTTATAATCTTACCCGCAGTCACATTCTCATTTTTGACGAGTCCTTGGCATTCTGAGATTAACTCACCGGTTTACAGAAGGTTTTGCCGAGCCCCTTGAGTTGAATCTTGCCGCGATCATCTACGCCGTCGTATTCGCAGTCATACCAGTGTACACGATTCCCCTGAATAACGACATATCTGGCACTGTATATCAACCCTGGTGGAGTGCCAGTCCATTACGGCTGTTTCAAAATAGTGTGCAACCAAAGAGTTTGTAACGCGGTCGTTACTGTGTGCAATGCACATTTGAACGGGTTGACATGTCTGGGCTTGTCGACCGGCAATGGGCGTTTGGAGAGGGTTGACACATTTCACGTATAGTGATTGGCCAACGTTTTACAAACTCTTGGTGGCGCACTATCGTGAAATGCCGTATTGCAGTAACACCCTCTACTAATGACCCTAATTTTTTTTGAAAAATGTATGTGCATTTCAGTGGTGGTCGACAGACCATGGGCCTCCAATGGCTCCATAGGAAAGTGTAATGTCATCATCATGGGCTCAACTCCAAAATCCTGGAATGCAGGACTAGATAATCCGTGGATAATCTGTCCTCGATCATGTTTGTTTTTTTTGTTGCTGGTTTTTCTGATTAATTATTAATACCTCTTTGACGATGGGTTCCACTCATTAACCATCAACTTTATGTCCACTTATTTTCATTTAACTTGCATTAAAAGAGGAAAATTGTCTGTCTTGAAGACTTTGTCCAGGTAAAATGTCTACGAAACTGATAACAGCGGCGAGTACTTTTCAACCAAAACCTTTCTCTGTGGTCATCTCTTATTCTTTCACTTTAACCCTAACCTTCCCCAACCACACAGAATTAAACAGTAGTAAAGTGTTTAGTTCTGTGGGGATAGGTCTGGT